TTGTAGTAAAGTAAAAGATGGAAAATTTTGCGGAATTTTGCCGTATATAGCACCAGAGGTTTTAATGGGTCAACTGTATACTCAAGCATCTGATATTTATAGTCTTGGAGTTATCGCGACAGAAATTTCGACCGGACAAAGAGCATTTGATGGAATTCTATTTGATGATTATCTTGGATCAAGAATTATCAATGGATCAAGACCTAAATGTATAGGACCAGATTGTTATGTTGAATTAGCTATGAGCTGTATGGATAAAGAACTTGATAGACGACCTACTGCAACAAAAATTATTGAAATAATCACTCAATGGTTAGTTCAAATAGATCAGGATGACGATAATGAAATTAAGAAACAAATATTGGGAGCTAATAATATTAAACCAGAACCGATAAATCAAATTCATGCACAAGACGTATATACAAGCAAGATTTATGACACAAATAAATTTTCACAATATATTAGTAAACCTATGAGTACAATAGAGTTCTCGAACAAATTCTCAAATTTATATTTAAATTAAACTATTAAAATATATATTTATGACGCGACTATAGTAAATTGCTTAGTTGTCTGATTAAATTTTTAAATCTATTCATTAAGTGAATCACAGACAACGCATTTATATAAATGCATATTTTCAAAATTTTGTTTATGTTCCCGAGAGATGCATTAAAAGTTTCTGTGCAATGTAAACACAAAATAAAATTTAATAATAACGAACTTGCTCGATCTCCCGATACCCATTTCTCGAAGTATTATTTTTCTGACCCCATAAAACTGATAACCCTATTTTTGACAAGGCATTTCTCTGTAAACAACCCCCTAGCATAACCACCAAAACAGTTACGTAATCTCTGTTTGAAACCTGAGATCTTGTAAACCAGCACATTTTTATAATATTATATTATATCAATATATAACGATAAAAACTTTTATTAATATATTGTAACAATAAAACTTAAAATTTTAAATGTAAAAAATTTTTATTGCGTAAAAGAAAATGCCAATGTTCGTTCGAAATTGTTCTGTTAGTTTTCTTAACTAACTTTATATACTATAACATGAAATGTTTATGAATTTTAAATTTATTACCAATAAAAAGTATTCATGCTTCGTTTATTCCAGGGTTTTTTGCTTAGTTCAGATTTTTTTTTATGTCGTCTACCATCTTTTGAATCGGTCTAAAGTTGATTCAATATTTTTCAACCATTCTTTTGCTGTGGAAGGGTCAAATGTTATATTAGAGTAATATTTACTTTATTATGTTATACACGTAAATTAATTCGATAAAAATAATAAATAAGCTATAGCTCATGAAGAGTTTTTTATGCTGATCGATAATTTTTAATTCTGTTTCATCATCATTTGATTCGTCATCTTATGTAATATTATAGTTGTCAAAAACAGTTGAATTAATTATTATCGCTAAAGAAAGTTGTGCGTGGTCAGATGACATACGAATGTTCTCCCATATCGTTTTTTCAGCTTCTTCAATTATCGGATAATTTTAATTTTGCTGAACCTTAATTGAAAACTATTAATAAATATAAGTTTTCAAAATTAAATATAAATGAACCTTTCTAAAGAATGTTACTGGTGCTAATTTAGTTTGTAAATTGATTCTAACAAGAATAGCACCTCTACAATCATAATGGCTCAATCGTGACTAGTGATGGGTGACGCATGACGCAACTTGCGTCATTGACGCATGACGAAACCATTTCGTCAGGCAACTTCGAATTGATGAAATGACGCATGACGCAACTTATGACGCATGACGCAACTCATGATGCAACTTATGACTATACATGGGTGCCTAAATTATTTTCGAAAAATAGTACTTTCGGCAAACATTTCAACATTGCTAAATATTTTATATGAAACCCTTCGAAAGAACTATATTATATGAGTGCCGCCAAAGGAAAACTCCTAATCGGGCTTTCAATTATATTTTCTACCGGACAAAATCTATTTAATTTCTTAGAGAATATGTCTGGTACAAAATATAATTGAAAGCCCGATTAGGGGTTTTCCCTTGGTGGCACTCATATGATATATTTTGATAAAAAGAGTTCAAAAATTTCAGCAATAATTTTGGCAAATATGAAATTAATTTCAACACTATATAAGACTAATTTTGGCTGCCTAAATGCCATAATTAATTTTTTATTAAGATGGGCAATTTAAGCACCCATGTATACTTATGACTAGTGACGCAACTTAGGCTATTCAAAGTTAATTTTTCGGTTAACATTACCCCCTTTGATGTTTCCTATAAAATGAATATATAAAAAAAGTAAAAATCAAAAATACTGTATAGCCACAAAATAACGTGGTTTCGAATTTTGGCCTAAATTAAGCTTAATTAAAGCTGAAATTCAAAATAACCCCATGTGCTATTTAGCAGTTATATGGCAAATATAAAATAAAAAATAAGTTAAAATAAAATAAATTAAACTAATTAAATTAATTTAATTTATTTCAATTTAAAATAAAATAATTTAAAAATAAAATAATTTAAATAAAATAAAATAGTTTAATTAAATCAAAATAAAATAAAAAATCAAAATAAAATAAAATAATTTAATTTAATTTAATTTAATTTAAAACAAAATAATTTAATTAAATCAAATAAATAAATTAAATTAAATTAAATTAATTTAATTTAAAATAAAATAATTTAATTAAATCAAAATTAATTAAATTAAAAGTTTAGACCTGTAGCTTTTAAATTTTTTTTTTTAAAAAAAAAGATAAAAAAAGATAAATAATAAAAAATATAAAATAAAGCTAAAATTTTAGTTCCTACTTGGCTGTCCTTTCATGTATTTTATTTCAGTTTGTGATGATGAAACAATTCAAGAAAAACTGCTGAAAAAAGAGCTTCCGAAGTGTTTTTATTCAGAGAGAACTAGTATTAATTAGTAAGAAGAAATATTTAAATAAACATTTTACTTTTACTGAAATAACAATTACAAATCAATTATTTGAATCGATACTTTTTTATATTTTTTAAGCCATTCTTTATTTAAAATTTGTACGTATTCAGCCAATAGGAACTTGGGGGATTAGTAAACCCAAAATTCAAATCTGTGATCGCTGCATACATACTTTAAAAAATGATGCAGATCCGATTACTAGATCACGAGAGTTGTAAAAATTGTATGTACATACGAAGTTCTTTTTTCTTTGATGAATACATTATATAATTAATTATTTGCTTATTTATTTTTTGCTCCTCTCTTTTATAATAGGAATGTAATGTTAGCTACTGAATGAATCTCTAGACTAAATTTAACTTGAAGTCAATTCGTTATAATAGATTTACTACATTAAAAATAGTTTGTTTATTTTATATGTTCATTTCATTTATTATAAATTAAATGATATTTCGGTAAACTGGGATTTTCAGAATTATGTCTTATTAGTTAATTGGGATGTCAGTATTATAACTTTAGTGAACTGGCATTTCAGTAAAATTGATTTCAGAAAGTTAACCTGTAACCATAATAATTGCGTCAATAGTTGCGTCAATCGTCATTAGTTGGTCAATCATCAATAGTTGCGTCAATCGTCAAAGTTGCGCCTGACAAAACTATTGATGAAACCATTTGCGTTATGCCAAAATCGTTGCATTACCCATCATTAGGATTAGTACATATACCATATATAAGCCATAAGATATGATAGGACCAACCAATTATATATATTTTTCTAGAATTAGAAATATTCATTTATTTATTTATTTTTTCAGTAACAAAAACAATAGTTTCAAACGACACTATGATAAAGAATCTACAACACACAAAAAAAAAAAAAAAAAAAAAAAAACCTACATGTTACATTATATATGATCGAACTAATGAAAAAAAATGAATAAATACTTTCATTATGATTTTTCATTATTTCCTTTGATGATCACTGATTATCAATTCATCGTACTGGCAAAAAATCAGAAGAAAAAAAAACCAAAAAACCAAAAAATTATCGAAAAGTAGTAACACAAACATAAAGTAAAATAGACATACAAGCGCAAAAAGGAAGTTTTTTTAATAAAATTAGGTTGTTTTTAACCGATTGAAATTCTTTTTTTTTTTTTTTTTTTTAAAAAAAATAATTTTCTTGCATCTATATAGTATCATATCGATATCGGTTCATATTAGATGTAGATATAGATATATATAAAAATGGTGGGTGAAAGAATTTCCTTTTATAGATTAAGAGGAAATTTTAGATGCCGATCTTATGCACAAAGGCAGCACAAAATGCGATAAATAGAAAAAAAATTACACTACATAAGCATAAATAGTAATGAAGATTACACTGCATAAAATAAACAAACCATCAAAATTGAATATCGTTAAATAAAAGGCAAAGTATAAATAACGATTATAATAATAAGTAAATAAATATACGAAAATAGAATATATAATATAAATAAAGGTATATTATTAAAGTAAAATATATAAGAATAAATGATTGGATTAGCGAAACATAAAAGATCGAAGAAAGATTTAATCTTATGATTATCAAATCATCTGGGCGGGAAAAAATCCGAAAAGAAAAAAGCAAAAAATACAAAAATCTCAAGAAGCGTAATAGAGTTCATACTATAACAAAGAGTTTTTTGCGAGAAAATAGCAGAAAAGAGAGAAAAAGATATAATGTAAGAAGAGCAAAATAGCAGATTAGCATAGCATTGCAAGAGCAAGAGCAAGAGCATGAGGATAAGCAAGAGCATGAGCATAAGCAAGAGCATAAGCATGAGCTTTAGAGTATAGTCTATAAAACGCGATAAAATTTGTGAAACTATGAATAAACTTTTTTAGCAATTTTTTTATTAAAACGGAATAGAATTATGCAGAAGTAAACATAAACAGAAGCACAAAAGCAAAAAAAAGCAAAAAAAAGCAAATTTAGTGTGCACAACTTTAAACGAGCTTATTAATTGTGGTAAAAATTATAAATAAAAAAATTTTCCATTGATCCATTTCCAGTCATTGTATATAAATTCGAAAAATCATAGCCCATATATCATTAAAATCAGTTTTGGATGAAGAGTGTAATTCTTTTGTGTTTGTCTATCCCCGGTTTGGATTAATATTAAACAATTTACAAAACTTCTCGAAACTCTCTTGAATTAGCTTAATTTTTCGCTTATTTACGATGCATAAAGTTTTTTAATTAATAATTATTCGTAATGACAATAAAATGATACGTGGATGTGTTATTACCTCATTATATGTGCGTACAAAGACACGCAGTACTACTTCTTCAAAAGTTTCTGGAACAAGATAACTCAATTCATCACGTGTAATTTTGAATGCTATAAACAAGTGTAGAGTTTTATGAAAAATTTGAATTAAGATATTCATAAAATCCAAATTAAACGATACCAACGCTTATCGTTGTCTTTCCTCTTGTCATAGAACGTGACTTTTTCTACAGGATTTTGGTCTTTTTTTCCATAATTCAATCCTAGTTGTTCGATAATTAAGTCTTCAATTGCCTCATTTGTTACGGAAGTATCTTCAGCAAAATAGCTTTCTAACTTTTCCTGAAAAAAAAAAATGAATAAAATAAAAATAAAAAAGAATAAAGATTAGATTAAAACAATACTGCAAAATATCATAAGATAAATATATGCTATATTATAGTATTATATCATCAGTTATAATACCTTCGTAACCATTGTTTTAAGCTGTTTTGCGACTGAACACTCAGCCACTAATTTGTATAAATCTCTCCGTCTAATTCGCTTGATAATTTTTCTTGAAGTTTCTAATTCCTAAAAGAATCAATTATTGAAACGTTTATTAATAATTTGATCACATGTCATTTATGTACTGTACAGTATTATACAATAGCTGATAGACGCATAATACCTTGCAATCTGTAAATTCGATCCTACTCAAAATAGAATCATCCAGTTTGATATATTCTTTGGCGTCTTCAATTGCACCTTTGAAGTTAAAGTATGGATCAGCTTCTACCAGCGCATCTGCTATCATATAATCAATTGCTCTGCCTATTATATTAAGATTAGTTAATATTCTACAAACCATAATTACAAAAAATGAAGTTTTGTTCATGGATAACATACTAACGCGATGGTTATACACTTTCTTGTGCAATGAATAACGCGTATGAAACATTTCATAAATGTTAAAACATTCCTTGTGGTTATAAGCGATCTTTCCATCTATGACGCAAGAGAACTTCATCAATCGTGAAGAGTCAAACAAAGATTTCATGCCCAAATTATAACAATCTCGGTTAAGATAATCAAATTTATCAACATCCACAGAATTATCTTCATTGCTGACTATATCGAATAGGCATTGAGGCCTATTGCCACTGATTATAAGTAACATTGCATATATGTAAATATAATCATAATATATAATAGTTCATTATAAACGAGTAGATTCGAACAGTGAATCCATCCATGACTAGTAGGGTTGGACACGGGAAACAATTTGGGCATGCCCCTGTATATATATCATGTGCAAATTATTGACTTTCTATCAGGGAAAGTGCACTTTTAGAGATGTGTGAATCTAATTATAACACATGATAATAAATATTGAAATGCAATACATTATCGAATTTAAAATTTTTTGAGTACTTAAAGAGAAACAATCTCATAAAGTGCACTTATGTGTGTATACTTGTGAAGAGTTGGCTATAGTAAGATAGGTAGCCAATCAGATACTCTAATTTCATATAATCGATATTTATTGGCATGTGACAAGGCTCAAAGCTACTCCTGCGCCTACTTTTTTTGAAAATCCCAGTAAAAATAATAATTTTCAAAACTTTGAGCGAAGATATCTCGACAGCCATCAGATCAAATTTGATAAAGCTTTTTTTATTCGAATTCTATGGTTTCATGGAATTCAAGTAAAAAAAATTTCATCGAATTTAGTCAAGTGGTTGTCGAATTATCTTCACTCAAAGTCAGAGAAAAATCAAAACGCCTATCAAAATAATTAACCATAGCTGCCGCAAAAAATTGGACCGGCAGATTCTCGATTTTGATTGGCTAATGGCCGTGGATCTTCAAAATTTTGGCCCACATTAATTTTTTCATTACAAAAATAGAAATTTTTATAAAAATAAGCCCGCATTATGGTAAAATTGACCCAGGAACAATTTTCACTTAATGGGTGGCTGTAGAAGCTGCGCCAAATTTTTTATCTAACTTTGAGCGAAGATATCTCGACAACCATCTGACCAAATTTGATAAAACTTTCTTTTTTTTTTGAATTCTATAGCTTCATAGAATTCAAATAAAAAATTTTTATCGAATTCAGTCAAGTGGTTGTCAAGATATCTTTGCTCAAAGTTAGAGAAAATCAAACCGACTATCAAAATAGAAGCTGAGCCAAATTTTTTTCTAACTTTGAGCGATGTTTTCTTGACAACCATCTGACCAAATTCGATAAAACTTTTTTATTTGAATTCTATGGCTTCATAGATTTCAAATAAAAAAAGTCATCGAATTTAGTCAAGTGGTTGTCAAGATATCTTCGCTCAAAGTTAGAGAAAAATCAAAACGTCAATCATAATAGAAGCTGTGACAAATTTTTCTATCTTTGAGCGAAGATATCTCGACAACCATCTGATTAAATTCGATAAAACTTTTTTTATTCGAATTCTTTGGTTCCATAGAATTCAATAAAAAATTTTTTATCGAATTTAGTCAAATAGTTGTCGAGTTATCTTCACTCAAAATTAGGTCAGACCAATTTAATTCGGTGGTTTACATTACATCCTTCTCACAAAAGGGGGGAGGACTGGAGGGAGTTTATTATAAAATTTTTCCGGAATGATCCGCGATATTATAAAAGCTTTCCGAAATTTTCCGCATATATAGTGAGGGGTGTAATGTAAACCACCGAATTAAATTGGTCTGGCCTTAGAGAAAATCGAAATGCAAATAAAAAAGCTGCGCCAATTTTTCTGTGAAGATATCTTGACAATCATCTGACCAAATTCGATAAAACTTTTTTTATTTGAATTCAATGGCTTTATAGAACTAAATAAAAAAATTTCATCGAATTTAGTCAAGTGGCCGTCAAGATATCTTCGCTCAAAGTTAAAGAAAAATCAACAAAAATAAAAGCTGCGTCAAATTTTTTCTAACTTTGAGTGAAGATATCTCGGCAACCATCCGACCAAATTCAATGAAATTTTTTTTATTCGAATTCTATAAATCAGTAGAATTCATATAAAAAAAGATTTATCGAATTTGGTCAGATGGTTGTCAAGGTATCTTCGCTCAAAATTAGATAAAAAATTTGGCGCAGCTTTTATTTTGATAAGCGGTTTGATTTTTCTCTGACTTTGAGTGAAGATAAATCGACCACCACACCACTTGACTAAATTCGATTCTTATTTTTTCTAGGATTTTTATGTCGATCAGTATCAAAAAAGTAGGCATAGGAGTACAGTATCAAAAATGAAGGGTTTGCGTCTCCGGCATGCCCTTGGACCCCGCGCCCCAACCCTAATGACTAGTACTTAATTCTAGTAGACAAATGACGCGATATCTAAAAATAACATACTTTTTTTTTCCCATAATGAGCGCTGCTATGAAGTCTTCATCCTCTGTTTCTAGTTCGAAAGGATCCGATTCCGATTGTCTCAATTCTTCAATAAGATCTTTTAGCATCATTGCGGACCCGTGTTCATGTTTCCATTTGTCGGGACCTCTATTATTTAAGAAAATTCATAGTTTTTGCGCATATAAATAGTTATTTAAATAGCTAATTTAATGTGAAGCAATCACATTAAATATAATTATTTCTCTGTTACATTAGTCTTGGCATAACTACGTTATCGAACACGTGACTAAATGGTCCATGCCCTACATTTCACGTAATATAGTTAAGTTATTATTCAGCTATATGTCAAAAATAAATATTAACATACCCAGATCGTGACATAAAGCTGCCAAAGTCACACATTTGATATCATTATCCTTTATTTCAGTGTCTTGTTGCTTTAGTATTTTTGTAAATGTCTGAGCAAGGTGTGCAGTTCCTAAAATGGCCAGTGTTAATTTAATCAGTTACGTAGGACAAAGTAAGTAAAAGATCTATCACTTACCTAAACTATGTTCGAAACGATTATGACTTGCACCAGGATAAACAAAATAGGCAGAACCTAATTGCTTTATTTCTTTCAACCTTTGAAACTGCGGTGTGTCAATAAATTTAATTGCCCACTCATCAAATTCCATATACCCCTAAGACAATAAATAATATAAAATATTCTTTCATTAATTCTCAATACTTGAAAATTCTTAATTAGTTTATGTAAAAAACGAAATTTTACATGGACAGGATCATATATAATTTTCTTTTTAGAATCATTAAAGCTCATTTTTAATTTTTTTTTCAAAAATTCTTTTGTGTTAATATTTTAATAAATTTTAAAATTACACGAAAATTAAATTCTACCAATCCTATCGCATATATGAGTGACATCAAGAACTTCAGACTTTATGATAAACATGGTATCACTCATATGATACGTATCGCATATTATTATATTACACAATTATAAATAATAAACATGAATACCTCATATTGTGTCCAGGGTACTGCGGTGTATATTTCTGCTCACGCTAGAAATAATGTTCTTATAAGAAACATGTATTTAAATCATTTTTAAAATCAAATTACAATGTAAAAAAAAATATTTTTAGAGTGAGCAGAATTATGCACCGCAGTACCTTGGACACTCTAACTCATATAATAGCTAAATCATGTACCGCATGATAATTATTATATTACACAAACGTGTTAGTGTACATATTTTTGGGAGCCGATGCGCGCATCCACTTATTTGTGCCGGTAATACAAACCTCTAAAAAGGAAATGGCCAATCGGAAAACGTAAAATGCGGATCAGCCCGACACGTGAGCAAAGCGAAGAAAAACACCGAAAAAGAGAAAATACTCAAAAACTAGTGTTTAAATC